TCTTTAAACAGAGATAGGAAGTAGGGAATGAGGAAAGTGTGGGGTGAGGGGCAGGGATAATATGTCCGGCAGGCTCTCCCTTGTGATTGCTCTCTGTCCTTTTAGCCTATCGTTTTGACTTTCAGCCTTTTATGAGTGACTTCAGCAGCCTATAGAATGCTAGATGCAAAAGTTGTTAGTTTAAGGCCTTGTTAGAAGTTCTCCAAAGAGCAAAAGAATGCACCACTGTGTCATAAATCCAAATGCTATGCCTTCCTGCTCTTTCTTGAAACATTTAGACAAGTCTGTGTTCTCTTTAAAAACAGGAGTCACTGCAGGGTATTCAGCATCCCTGCTCTTGGCCTTTCTTGGGTCATGAGTAAAGGACAGGCTCTATCCTGACTTCTTCCTTGCCATGTCATGGGCCTCTGGTGTTGAAAGTGTTAAACTTTGTCACTTTAAAGATTACCTTCACTTGTAGACCATGCCTCTCTCAGTTGTCTTTGTATTTGATGTGAGATGTCCATTGATAACCTGACTCTCAAGTCTCATATCGTCTTTACTGTACATCTTGCTGTAATGATCACTGCTCCTGACAGACTGCCCACTGTCTCTGCAGGTCTCTCATCTTACCTGGATTTCACCAGTCCCAAGGTCAGAGAGTGGTATTCCAGCCTTTTTGCTTTCACTGTTTATCAGGTTGGTTTTTGTTCTTTTACTGTTTCCTAGTTAACCTGAAATGATGAAAGGAAAAGGCAGCTTCCTTTCATGAAGTAGCATATATATACATTATAAAATAAAAGGCGAGGATAGACATCACATTACAGACTTTGGTGGCATTAGGAAGGGGACTATGCACATTACTAGCTCTATAAAAACTGTGGTTTTCCTTGTATCATAACGGACTATGATATATCAAACCATAGTACAATGGTGATTTATTCTACTTATTGATTACTGTGTACATGTTAATATAAAATACTATTCTACAACTATTATTGGAAGTTGCTGTGAAGCCAGGCATGGGGGAATGGTAATCATAGCACTTGGGAAGATGGGCAGAAGAATTGCCATGAATTCAAAGCCAGCCTGGGATACAGAGTAAAACTCAGTCTCAAGGAAAAACAAATAAACAAAAAACTGGGTGTGGTGATGCTCACCTTAAACCTCAGCAGTTGGCAGGCAGAAGCAGAAGTTCTGCAAGATGGAAACCAGCTAGGTCTACATAGCAAATTCCAGGACAACCAGAGTTACAAAAAAAGACCCTGTCTCAAAAAACAAAAAACTTACGGGTAGGGAAATAGCTAGGTTGACAAGAGTGCTTAGACAGCAGAGCTGATCCCCAGCACAGCAAAGACACAGGCATGGTAGCAGATGCCTATAATTCCAGCATTTAAGGGTAAAGGCAGAAGGATCAGAAGTGAATGTCAACTTCAGCTAGTTGTCACATTCAAGACCAACCTAAGCTACATGAGACCCTGTCTTAAAAAAAAGAAAGAAAAGGAGTAGACAAAAATCATCAGCAATAAAATGGGTATTACAAGTGTGAAACTATCTTAAAAACCAGTAGTTCTCAACCTATGGGCCACAATCCCTTTGGGAGTTCAAACAACCCTTTTACAAGATTTGCATATTAAATATCTCTATATCATTTATCTACATTATGATTCATAACCAACAAAATTACACATATGGCGTAGCAATAAAAATAATTTTATGGTTGGGGTGATCACAACACGAGGAACTATATTAAAAGGTCACAGCATTAGGAAAATTGAGAACCATTGTTACAAACCATAATGTGTTATTAAAGCAAAATATAATTGAAATCTTGAAAGAACAGAAGAGGTCACATTAGAGACCTGTCTTCCACCATTATGGTTATGATGACAACCGTGGTGATACTAACACAAACTGAATGCAAGCCACACCAAGCGCTCTTTTAAATGTTTGATGTGCATTCCCCCATTTTTTCTTTACAATAACACTCTAAATCTTAATAAGTAAATATGAATCCCACACATAATAAAATTGAGGTGTGGAGAGTTTAAAAACCCATAAAGGTCACCCACTTACTAAGTGATGAGCCCAAGATCTTCATTCAGGTCTATTTGTCGCCCAAGCTCAGCTCTTACGCACAAGACACTCACTTCAGTGCATCATTGATTAGGAGATTAGAAAGCAGGGCAGTAGAAACAACAATCCCTAGGCAAAATGTGGCTATAGTCATTTACTTCATTATTGCCTATGGCTGCTTTCACAACACTGTGCCAGAGTAGAGTAATTAAAGAGCTTTTATGATCCACAAAGATGGAAATGTATATTATCTAGATCTTTACAAGAGGAAGAAGAAGATAATAGTATGAAGAAGAGGAGGAGGATAAGAAAGCTTGCTGATATTTGCTTTAGAAGTGCTAAAAGAAGAATGGAGGAAAATATTTGAAAACTATGCAGCCTTATTCTTAGGAGTGTATTTGCTTAGAAGCCAAGCATGGTGGTACATGCCTTTAATCTCAGCACGTGGAGAAGCAGAAAAAGGTGGATCTTTGTGCATTCAAGGCCAGCCTGGTGGTATACCGAGTTTCAGGACAGCTAGAGCTACATAATAGACCCTATCACACACACACACACACACAAACACAGAGTTCATTTACTTAGACACAGTTGAAGGTGCAGAATCGAAAGACAATCTATAGGCCACTCCCAAGCACTGGAAAGATCATCTACCATGTGGGTAAGGTCTCAGGTGTGTTCTGTGATGTCCTGGAAAGAAGCTGGGCCTCATCTGGACGTGGTGTAAAGAATAGGGCACTAAGAAATAATAGAATGAGCTGCCTGAAGCTCCCTGTACTGGTAGTCACATGCTGAGACCAGGGATTTTATAAGAATTTTAAAACCATGTTCACTAGATGGAAAGAACACAAACTAGATAAGATGTTAAGAAACAGAAAATTCACCTGTCAAGTCTTTCAGAGTATTAGAGAAAAAAACAGATTCGTGTATAGTAATAATTGCTTTTAGTTAAGAATTGTAGCAGCGATTTCTTCTCAGCTTTTTGGGTGAAATCAAGTGACAATTTGTAGTAGATAGTGAATGATGCAAAGCTTAATGATAAGTATTCACAATTATTTTTCTGGCATGTATTCTCTAAGGATATCTTGGAATGAATTCACAGACAATAAAGTACCGCACTCTTATCAACAAATATTTAATGATAGCTTTCTTTGAGTCAGAAACTATTCTAGGTGCATGGGATTTTTATTGAACAAAACAGACAAAATTCACAGCCTCATCAGCTTAAAGAAATACATAAGAAAGAAAAGAAAGAAGATCAGGGATACTGTCCTATTAACACCATCCCTGGGGAAGGATTCTTATGAACGGGGTTCACTTTCTAGGGATCTTCGGGTATCCTCTTCATATGGAATGACATGAATGAGCCCTCAGTCTTCAGAGGGCCAGAGCTAACCATGCAAAAGAATGCCGTTCATTATGGCAACTGGGAACACAGGGAACTTCACAACATCTACGGGTTTTACCAGGTAAAATAAGAAAAGAAGTCAACAAGATTCATATGCCCTGTTCTTAAACACGGCATCAGCTGTATAATCGAGTGTACTCTGCATGTCTCTTTGTGTGTCTTTGCTGTCAACTGCAGTGAGTCTTAGATTACAACCTATTTATTATTTCCCCCTACTTCCCTTTCCTTCCACAATAAGCCTGATAAATTTAAAATATTGTATATGACAGTTAATACTACTAGCAGACATATGTTGGCACAAGCAATCTAGAAATATATTAATGAAGGTAATTAAAGCAAGGTTTTAAATTTTCATAAACATCTATCTAATGCAAGCTTAGCTGAGTTTGGTGGCACACATGTGTAATCCTAATATTCATAGTACAGAAAGACTGTGAATTCAAGGCCTGCCTGGCCTGCGTAACGGCTTCCAGTCCAGCCTAGACTATACGACATCCCTGTCACAAAAGCAGAAAGCAAACGCTGGCTAGAGCGAGGGCTCAGTGTTTTAAGAGTTCTTGCTGCTCTTCCAGAGGACCTGATTTTGGTTCCCAGTACCTAAGTTGTGCAGCTCACAAAAGCCTAACTCTAGCTCCAAAGGATCTAACACTTTCTTCTGGCATTCAGAGGCACCCACACAAGGAGTATACATGTACACATATACATATATATGTACACGCATACATATATATATATATATATATATTATGCAGACCATATGGATATTATCATATGTAAAATTTTTAAAATACTTACAGGGACTAGAGAGATGGCTTAGTGGTTCAATCCCAGAACCTACTTGGTGGCAAACATGATCTGTAATTCCAGTTCCAGAGGATCCAAAGCCTTTTTCTGGCATCCATAAGTACTGCATACACATAATGTATAGACATACATGTAAGCAAAACACTCGTGTATAAAGAAAAAAAAATCTAACAAAAGAAAACAAAAACCCCAACCCTGTAAAAACCTCAAAGCCGACCCTTGGGGACACACCTCCTCTAACAAGGCCACATTTCCTAACCCTTACCAAACAGTTCCACCAGCTGGGGATCAAGTATTTAAATATGTGAGCCTAGGGGCCATTCTCATCCAAACCACCACAGTATACTTTTGAAATGTGTAAGCTTTCCTAATTTGCTCAGCCTTCTGAAAACGTGGTAGAATCGTCTTCTATTTGTTGATTGTATCCAAAGATTGAGAATCACATACCCTAACTTATACCTATGAGTCTTTGTTATTTTTGGAATGTGACCACATGCCTGTAGGTCTCCCACACTTGTTATTTTCTAATGGGAGGTGCTAACTGGAAATAGCCTCTTCCATATTACCTCCTCCAGGTAATATATGTTTATTTCTCTAAAAGCCTTTTGCTTTAATTGTCAACTGCCTTGGAAATTTATTTGTTTGTTTTTCAAGACAGGGTATCTTTGTGCAGTCCTGGATATCCTGATACTCACTATGTAGATCAGGCTGGCCTCGAACTCAGAGATCCTCCTGCCTTCGCCTCCCAAGCCCTGGGAATAAAGGTGTACACCACTACTGCCCAGTAGGGAATTTCTTATGAAAGCTAAAACAAACACTTAACTTCTCTGAAATTATTTTTTTACCAGTAACAACTCTCTGACTCACAGATTATTGTGTAGATCATATGGAAATATAGTATGAAATGCCTGCTAGATATTCAGTGCTAACTGAATAAGTGGCAGATTGTTTTGTTGCTGTTGTTTTGTTGTGTGGTGTGTGTGTGTGTGTGTGTGTGTGTTCTGCCATGCTGGGCCTCAGGCACGCTGGATGGCCAATCTTCTACACATCTGCATCCTATATGTGTTTACTCTTATTTCATTGATATTCCTAATCAAATGTTTCCATCATTTAGGCAAATTAATGACATTCATTGTATCATCAAAAAGACTTGATGGGTTTATTATTTTCAATTTCATAGTCCCTCCAACTTTTCTCCTGTTAGTAGTCTATTGAGCATGTTGGCATGATGCCATCATCCTGTCTCCTCTTTCCAATCTTTCTCCATTGACTCACTTGCAGCAAATGGCTACTGCAGAAGGATTGATACAGAGATCTAAAGGGGAGGAGAGACCCTTTGTTCTTTCACGTTCGTTCTTTGCTGGATCACAAAAATATGGTAAGAAATGGTTCACATCACAAAATACAAGGTAGTTCCCCATTCTTTTCTTTTGTATACCATTTATGATATACCACTGTGTTCCTCTTCAGTAGCCTTGTATCTTATAGTATAGAAAATGACATGCTCTGATGTGGGTACTTTTAGTATGAATGAAAAGACCTAGAGGTACCTCAGTTGGGGAGTGTTTGCCTAGTTGGCAGGAGGCCCTGGGTATAATGCTCAGCCCTATAATAACCCAGGCAATGTGGTATGTGTTTGTAATCCTAGCACTCGAGAGGTGGAGGCAGGAGGAATAGAAGTTCAAGGTCATCTTCCAAGGCCACCTTGGGATGAATGAGACCCTATCTCTCTCCCACACCCCCAAAAACAATAAACCAACTTTCATCAATATCTTAGGTAGGGATTCTATTGATGTGAAGAGACACCAGAACCACAGCAACTCTTAGTAAGGAAAACATTTATAGGGCTGGCTTATACTTTCCGAGGTTTAGTCCACTGTCATCATGGCAGGAAGCATGGCGCCATGCAGGCAGGCGTGTTGCTGGGGAAGGAGCTGAGAGTCACACTGCACCTGGCTTGAGCATCTGAGACCTCAAAGCCCACCCCCTAGTGACACCTTCTCCAACAAAGTGGCACCTACTCCAGCAAGGCCACACATCCTAATACTGTCAAACAACTACAATCATGTTGAGTACTTTTTTCCTACTAAAGAAATGACCACTTATGTGTTGGGAGAGTGACTCTGGAGTATTCAGTTTTCTGACACAGCTTTCTCTGATCCTGTCTTTTTGACTTGGGAAACCCAGGGAAATACACCGCTAACATACTGCTCCGGCCACCTGTTCCACTTAGCAATATGGCTTAAAATAAACCTGGCTTTTGCTTGTTGTCAGGGTCATCTATGACTGGATCTGGTTTAATACAGATCTGTTTCAACTTGACCACTCTCGGGCAGGAAGGCTATTTTAAGGTCTCCATTCTTACATAAGTAACTGAGAGCTTAGGTCCTAAGGTAAAGAACCTGGTTTTGATGTATTGTAGATATTTTTAGGTCTCGCATTCAACCTCCCCAAAGCAGCCCATGTTCTTCAGCCAAAGGACAGAATCATGTCAACAGAGGAGCTCATCATAGCATTAGACCTTGAGGCTGAAAGAAAAGTTTACACATGTAAGAGTAAAGGAACAGTTACAAAATTGTGGGTCATCCACAAGAAAAACTATCATGAGGCAGTTTAAGATTACAGTTTAAATGGTTTTTTTTGGGTTTTTGTTTTTTGTTTTTTTTTTTTTCATTTATTTTAGGGAGACGTGACACATACCACATGTGTAGAGGTCAGAGGTAGTTTTAGTTTTAATTGCATGAGAATATGTTTGTAACATTATATAAATTAAAAAAGAAAGCATGCCTAACTGATATTCATTATCTCGATGGTTTAAAATGCAGGTGTAGTCATTTAAGTCAATAAATAGGTTCTGGCAAATATAGGAAAATTTAAGCCTATAGTCCCAGCGCTTGGGAGTGGAAGCGGGAGGATCAGGAGTTCAAGATCATCATAAGCTACATAGAAAATCTGAAAGCATCCTGTGATACATGAGATTCTGTCTCAAAAATAACTAAGTCAATAAGGGCTAGCAAGACGGCTCACTGAGTTAAGGCACTTGCCACCAAGCCTGATGACCTGAGTTAAATCCCAGGGACCCACATGGTGGAAGGAGAGAACCAAGGCTACATAGTGAGTTCCTATCTCAAAAACAAAACAAAACAAAACAAAACAAAAAACGAAAAAACTGCAGGGGAATTTAGGGAGGCAAAAAAAATTAATGAAAACGTTTCTAGGCATCGGTCTAGAAAGGTAAAAAGAGATATGGATGTTAATCGTTTTTCTTTTGGAGTCTTTTGCTGCAGGGTCTTACTATGTAGCTCAGGCTGGCCTTGAACTTGTATTGCCTCTCCCTCCCCAGAGCTGGAATAGCAAGCATGTCCTGTGCTGTCTAAATCCTCTCTCCTCTCTTAGATTCAGGTCTGCTTTCTAGTCTCCAGTACTCTGTGATCAGTTGCCCCAACATGTAGCTAGGAGAACATGGCCTTTTCCAGTCACATGCTTGACCAATAGCTATAAAGAGCTTGTGACTGAACAACCATTAACACGGTACATCACTGTGTCTACATGAGTTTTCTTTTTGTTTGTTTGTTGAATTTCTCTGTTTAACTCTGGCTGTCCTGGAATTCTCTCTCTCTGTAGACCAGGCTGGCCTCGAACTCACAGAGATCCACCTGTCTCTGCCTCCCAGAGTGCTGGGATCAAAGGTGTGCTCCTATCACCTGGTTTACATGAGCTTCCTTGATAGGTGTGTCCTCGTGATTTCAAAATCATTATGTAGATACATCCATGGCCCAACTGATGTCAAGGAAAAATCACTAGAGTGCTGTTTTTTAAAATCCTTTGAAAAGATTTTTCTCTGCCTATAGGACAGCTCAACATTTCTACAGAAGACTGAAACAAAAATACCTACTGAAACAGTTTTGGTAAAAGATAGGCCAAAGGGGGGAAAAAAGGTTCCATGTTTAATCTAAATGTAGTAAAATGAGATTATTTTCCCTCTTAATGTCTCTAATGATATATAATCTGTTATTATAAACTCTTACCAACATAATATGAACTGGAACTTTGGCTTTATCGGTCTGACTTCTAGACTCGGATCTATTTAATTTGACTATATAACTAGGGTAGATTATGGATCCACTGTTTTACATGTTTCCCTAATCTATAAAATATAGCTAATAATAGTGTTTGTCTCATAGGACTGTTGTGATAATCAAGTGGTACAAGAAAGCCTGAGTATTTAGTTGTTTTTTTGTTATTGATGTTGGTTTAGTTTAGTTTTGGTTTTTGGGGGGTTTGTTTTTTAAGACAAGGTTTCTCTGTGTAGCCCTGGCTGTCCTTGGAACTTCCTCTGTAGGCCAGGCTGGCCTGCAACTCACAGAGATCCACCTGCCTCTGCCTCCCAAGGGCTGGGATTAAAGGCGTGTGCCACCACTACCCAGTATTTTATGGAGCTTAATAACTTTTTCACTTTAGAAAATTGATACTTTTTGCAGAAATATTAGAATTTATTTAAGGTGAAAAATCTGTTTCCTTTTTTTTTTTTTATTTTTGTCTTTTACAAATATGGACTCTAAATGAAATGGAATGCACTGGATGATCTGTGTGTTCCAATGCCTTGTTATGGGCAATCTAGGTGCAGTCTGGACGGGAGACAACACAGCAGAGTGGAGCTATCTGAAGATCTCCATCCCGATGTTGCTCACCCTCAGTGTCTCAGGCATCTCTTTCTGTGGAGGTAAGCTGATCCCTGTCCTGAGGCTTCAAGAAGGTAGCGAGAAGTGAGGGTCCTCAATGCTTATTAGTTGTTTGGGGCAAGGATAAATGCAAACGGGAAACTGGGAGAAGAGCAATACTTGCTTTAAAACTTACCACACAGCCTGATGTGGTGGCTTGCCCCTTAATGCCAGCATTCTAAAGGCAGAGGTAGGAGGATCTCTAAGAATTTGAGGCCAGCCTGCTGCAGTGGCTCACACCTGTAATCCCAGCACTCAGAGAGGCGGAAGCACGTGGATCTCTGTGATTTTGAGGACAGCTGGGATTACATAGAGAGACCCTATTGTTTTGTTTTGTTTTGTTTTAATGCTGCATGTATCTTGTCTGAATTGAGGACCTGAAATCAGGCAGAGGATGAGGAGCCTTTTTCCTTCCCTCGTTCCCTCAACGCTGCCTCCAGAGACACAGTAACAGAGTGTTCCAGAAACATGAGAGCGCTGCAGACAACTTAGCACATGAAAAGCCAGCCTAGGCCTGGGTGTGCAGCTCAGTAAGCTGCTAGCCTAGTATGTTGAAGGCCTTGGGTTGATAGGCAGCAGCCAGGGAATGAGGGTCAGCCTTACAGAAGTACTTTGTGCTCAGCAGATATAAGATTCTGTAGCATAATTTAAATTTATTTTTTCCTTCAAGATGTGCTTGGTTGGCACATTGCTTGCCTAGCTCGAAAGAAGCCCTCAGTTTGACCCCCAGCCCCACATAAAGATACACATGGCCGCACATACCTATGATCCAGCACTGGGATGTAGAGATAGAAGGATCAAAGGTTCAAGGTTGTCCTGAGCTACTAGCCAAAACAGATGGGACTATGGAGGTGGCTCAGTCAGTAAAGTGCTTGCCACACAAACATGAGGCCCTAAGTTCAGAACCCCAGCACCCATGTGAAAGTGGCAGATGCAATGGCAGGTGCCTGTACTCCCAGAGCTGGGGACACCGGGATGCTTGCTAACCATCCAGTCTAGACAAACTTCAGGTTCAACGAGAGACCCTGTCTCAAAAAATAAAATAAAGCAAAGAGTGACTGAGGAAGATACTAAAATCAGGTTGTGGCCTACACACACACATGTACCTTCTCACACATGAACATCATGCATGCACACGCAAAAGATGCACTCTTGGAAAAGACAGATTTAGTTAAAATGCATGTCTGATGGCTTGCCTTCCCTCATCCTAAGAATTCAACACAGGTAAATATATAGGTAAATATAAATATAAAGGTGCTCGGAATATACTGGCTGCAGTTGTAGCTGCAGATGTGATTGATTTTTATTTTGTAAGAATAAAAAACAATAATATCACTTTTTTGATATATGTGTCTTTATGACATTGGGCCACAGGCAAGAAATACATGCTCTGCCCAGGAGATGAGCATGAAAATTCTACCTAAACCTCCAAGGCTGTTGATTTGCTTCTCTGGTTGATACTGTTTTAGCTTTTGCTTTCAAAAGAAATAAATTACCAATTTTTCCTTCAGCACACAGACACACACCTAGTGCAGTTTCTGGGTAGTGGAGGACCCAAAATACACAGGACAACTGCTGTAACAGAAAAGCCTGTGGCCTTTTGACAAAAAGAGAGAGAGAGAAAACCCATAAAGCATTCTGGCAGGTCCCTGGCTGTTTTCATGGCTGCTGCTCCTGTTTGAGGCTATCGTTTGCCTGTCGTGTTTAGTGTGCATGTCAAGCATCTCTCAGCTTTCAAGGCCTTGTTTTACCTTAACACATCATTTAGTTCATGTGTGGTCTTCATCTGGTTTTTCTCTGTCTCACCAGCTGATGTGGGTGGCTTCATCGGCAATCCTGAGGCAGAGCTGCTAGTGCGTTGGTACCAGGCTGGGGCTTACCAGCCCTTCTTCCGGGGCCATGCTACGATGAACACCAAGCGGCGAGAACCCTGGCTGTTTGGGGAAGAAAACACCAGGCTGATCCGGGAAGCCATCAGAGAGCGCTACACCCTCCTACCCTATCTCTATTCTCTGTTCTACCATGTGCACATGTCTTCTGAACCTGTCATGAGGTAAAAAGGGCACACTCTAGGTAGGGGCTCCAGAACCAGCCAACAGATCCCCTCACTGACGAGGGACTGGAAAACCCATGTGTTTAGTCAAAAGTTTCAGTCAGCTTTACTTCTCGCTGTACTCGGGGTGCTGGCGTTGAAGACACCGAAGCTACTGACTGGATCCTCTACCTCTCATGATCAGAATATTGCTATTTGTTGAGAAATGGAAATGTTGTAAAGAATAAGGAGTGGCTTTGCAGCTAAAATAACTTTAGTGTTTTACACATATTCTTCTCATGAAAAATAACTTTTCTGCTGTCTGAGACTTGATTTTACCCATATGGTTGAGCTGTTCCAAGCTTGAGGTAGGGATTTTTTTTTTTTTCTGCTTATAAATTCTACTTTGAAGGCACAAATCAATTTTTTAGGTTAGAGAAAAACATGCACCAAGTTCCGAGTCAGCATTTCCTAAACTTGCTTCAGACCAGAAGTTTTCTGGAGATTCTAGTCATCAGCTAGGGTTAGGGACACCTGCTTTGTTACCATTAAGTTGAAACAGAATATACTGTTGCAAAGGCAGGTAAATAAGTAGCAAGTTTTATTTGTTAAAAAATACTGGCTGGAGCAATGGCTCAGCTGGCTGCTCTTGCAGAGAACCTTGGTTCAATTCCCAGCATCCACACAACTATCTGTAACTCTAGGCCCGGAGGATCCAGTGCCCTCTTCTGATGTCTGCTGGTACCAGGGATTCATGTGGTGTACATACATATATACATACATACATACATACATGCAGGCGGCAAAGTGCTTATACACATAAAATCATTTTAAATTTAAAAATTAAAATTTTTTTCAGTTAAAAGATATCTGTTAAAAAAAAAAAGATATCTGTTTCTTGGTGCTGGAGATATGGCTCAGCAGTTAAAAGTGCTTGCTGCTCTTATAAAGGACATAAGTGTGTTTCCCAGCACCCACTTATGGGTCTGGTGGCACACAACCAGCTGGCTCCAAGGGTTCCAGCACCCTCTTCTGGCCTCTGTGAGCACTTGTGCCCAAGTGATACACACACACACACACACACACACACACACACACACACACACACACA